GGTATAAAATCACATTTCTGTTTTTCTGACTCATATTGAGGCTGTGGTAGAGAATAACAAAAGTGTTGTACACAAAAGAAAAATGACTGATTGATTTGAACAAGTCATGTCTATCCTCTCAGGTTCCTATGAGATGTAATAAAAAGCAGTTTCACAATCCAGTTACTGCTGAACACCTCGGTCACATCTGTCCGTGTGTCACTCACCTGGCTCAGGAGGCTGTGTTCACTGGACCGACAGGGCTGAGTGGGTTAAATACAGAAGCCAGTGTCAGTCACACTGAAACATCATCTCCTGTCCAATAGGGATTCACCAAACCTGAGACCGAACTCTGGTCTCCACCCCTCTCTGTAGTACCATTTAATATGAGGCCCTTTGGCGCCAATCAAGAATAAAAAGCCCCTGGACTTTAGCAGCAGAGTCATAAAGAGAACAGACTTCAAATGGAAACTCCCCCATTAAGTCTGGATGGAAAGCATCACCTGCTGGGACGACTGCAACCGCTGGGAAAATGTTGCAGACTCACACAATATGTCAGCCAAAAAAAAAACCCAGCAAAACATAGATGACAGCTCACACAGCCTCGACTTTGACAAGAGTCGTAACAAGGATTCTGAAACGCTCACGGCTCCTGAAGGTGGTTATTTTTTTTACCCAGAGAACACCTGCTTTAACAAAGAGTGGCCATCAGCTTTTTTTGGTCTGAACATGTCCACGATCAAATCTGAAGTGCTTAAATTTAAACTGCATTCTTACAGGATGTCGTAACATTACTGCACATGATGTACAGTCCCTGGGATCCCATGCAACTACTTTGAAAACTATTTAAAACATTATACATGTTAACATAAACACCACACACGAGGACAACAAATGAAGGTTTTGCATTTTGATTTTAATTGCTTTGTTTTTGTAACTGATCAATCACTGAAATGATTTTTCACCAAAAACTTCAGCGTCTTTAACACAACTCTCTTAAATGATGCACTATGATGTTGCATCACTTTAAAAAACATTTACTAGACTTTGTGATTATTCCCAGACAAATTGGTGAAAATGTAAAACACCCTATCCTGTGAAGTTTAACTCATAAAAAAATGGGGGAAAAATTGCATCCGGCCCCAAAATTTAATGGGTTCTTTTCTGGCATCCTTCCAAGTTTAGTGGAAATCTTTTTGGACGTTTTTGTGTGTAATCCTGTTCATCAACAGACAGACAGGTTTAAAACAGCAGCTCCTCAATGGAGTAGCTACAACTACAAAATCCTTCATGTATATTAATGCATCTGCAAAAATAAAACTTACAGTACAATGGAAAAGGCCAAATATACAGATCCTGGGCGTTAAACTCTGCAAAGGCTTTTTTCTCTCCAATTCTTTTTATAGAAAGTGAACGATGGAAATAACGTCTGCTGCTCCATGTTCGCAGGTTTTACAAGGAAGGTGTGTGAGAGGTGTTAGTGAAAGCTGCAATTAGGTCAACAAAGCCGCTCCAGTAACAAACTAGAAGCAGAGCTCTGTTTCAGACAGTTTCAGGTTTAACAAACTCTCACTCGAACACTGAAGCTGAGATGGAGAAACTTCAGATGGGAATGATTAGCTTTTCAACCAGAAAACAAACAGTTGTGAGGACAGCGCCTCAATATATAAAGTTTGAATGAAAGAAAACGATCTGTGTGCATTATAGGTTATTTAAGTAAAGAGGAGTCTCGTGCTGATGAATGAAAGAGGCATTTTCAGGATTGCCAGAAGGCCAAAGAGAAATTCAGGATTTGTTGAAGGAAACACACCAGTGAGCTTGGTAGCGTCACATTGTTACCACGGCGACTGACAAAGTTAATCGCAGTGTCCCTCGTCTCAGCGTTTAACACCAAAGTTTTCAGCAAACGAACTAAAACCAACTCTCTGGAGTGACCTCAGGTGTTTGTGAGACTTTCATGTGCACACACACGAGACAAAAAGGAGCAAAAACAGTGTATTATTGAACCATCAATTTATTATAACTAGTGTCACAATACAAGGCTCAATGTTACTTATCTTGCCTGGTGTGAATTATAAAATGTACAGAATTAATCCATTTCAGCTGAAGCTTTAAGCTCTAAACTGCAGACAGCATCACACAATAACAAGTTCTGACACATATTTACAAGTGTTTTACTGGTGAACAGGAATCTTAAAACACTATGAATCTCCAACAGCAGAATTCTTGCAAAAATAGTCGAGCTTAAAAATCGTCCAGGTTCTGCTTGACTTGTTTTAGAAAATGCTGAAGGAGGAAAAAGAAAGAGCCTCAATAGGAGTCTGTAGAAAACAAAGAGTTTTCCCCTCGGGTGGCCGAAGCACAGCGTGCGTGAAGACGAGTCCCGGGTTCTTCAGACGAAGGTGATTCGGCTGCGGGCCTGGTTGAGCTGCCACACGTTCAGCTCCTCGTATTCCTCTAAGGCCTCCTGGAACTGGGCGGGGGTGAAACCGCGGGAGACACAGCGCTGCTCTGCCTCGGCCATGCGGACCACCCCGCCAGCTCCGCCGCGGCCGACCACGCCCTCTGTGGCGAGCTCGCGAACCAGGGAGAAGATGACGTCGGCCGGTCGCTGGGTCCTGTACAGGAAGAAGGAGAATTCAGACTTTTAGACCCTGGAAGAACAAACCTGTTGGCTAACGGGGAGATGAGTTGGGAACATGTTTAAAACGGAACCTATACAAAAAAAAAAGTAAATAAAATGCAATCTTCTAAAACATCAAACTACTTTAACGGTTTCAGGAGGAACTCTTCCCATTGATATAAAAAGCCTGTTGTGAGTGTTTGAGTGCCGCTTCGAGAACAGTTTATGGTAAAGGGGTGTGAACATGTTTGACGTCTCGACGCCTGTCATGTCTGTGAACAGAGCTCTATAAAAACCCAGAGACGTTTTACAGCTTCCTGCAGGATATGCAGCTTCTGTTACAGGAATACGAGAGACTCGTTAGGACGACCACATCCGGTCACTCGTGATGTGTGGAGCTGGTGTTAACTTCATGTCGCCTGAGTTTCCGGTGCGAACACTAACCTCGTGCTGCTCGACTTGTCAGTTTGTAGTGAGTCCTTTGACATCTCCATCAGTCTCATGGCCTCGTTGACGTCCTCCTTTTCCACAGTGTCCATCATACGAAGGCGAGCCTGGGGAGGGAGAGAAGGGGGAGACGTCCTGAAAATCAAGTTAATTCATAAAACTTCTTAAACTTCTGGCTTGACCAAAGAGTCCATCCTGATTACGTAGGTTGCGCTGTGCCGGCACTGTCAGACCGAGACAAGTGCAATGCCCTCTGGGATGGTCGGCAATTGCCCAAGTCTCCGCCTCTCAACACCAGCTAGTCTCTCTACACGTTGAAATTCAGACATCTGACCAAAAATACTAAAAAAGAGAAGCTTGATAGTTTAAACATCAGGTTGTTGGACAGAACTCGTTGATGACTGCTCTGGTCATGGTCAGTTTTGCATGGGTTTGCACAGCTGCACCTAAAGCACACAGGCTGACTGCCCACCCTGCAAAGCTGGCCAGGATCAGACAAACTCAGTATCTCACATGTGGGGTAACAAAGGCGTAACAAGGTTTCACAGATGTGAAGATCAGTGGATGTGGAGCTCCGGTACATTTACTGAACAGTTCAAGCAGTTTCTTTCACACAATCATTGTTGTGGGAGCAGTTTGCCCCCTTGTGGAAATACCAGTGGAGCACATCGCCAAGCTGTTTGCCTGAAGTGCTGGTTTTGCAGTAGGTGGATGATGCTACCTGCACAAACAGCACTTTTGGCAACCAGAGGCCAAGTCAACAGATAAAACTCATTCACGAAGCATCAGCAATTCTTAAATGAAAAATAAATAATTACAAAACCATTAAAACAGTTTTTACAGCTCATGTAATGAGCAGTCATTAGATACGATTAAGAAAGATGAGGTTATCTTCAGTGTGCGGAGTTCAGAGCTTCTGTCCAGCGTGAGAAAGAAGTGCTCACACTGCAGTAGGCCGTGTTATCATCACTACCTGCACTGTAAGCACTTTATCTCACACTGGACTGTTGAAAGCACAGGAAGATGAAAACAATAGAATTCTCATCAATATTTTATGTTTAACCGAAGTGCGGACGTGTTAAATTCACGTCAGTGATCTGCAGGTTTCCTGTTGTGAACTGCAGCCAACTGAAGTGGAGGTGTATTTCTCACCAGAGCAGTGGACAGACGGAGGATGGAGAGGAGGGTTCGGGCGGAGGTAAAGGTGGTGTCCTTGCTCACTCGGGCCTCTTTCCTCATCTCCACATAAGCAGCAGTGATGTAATCAGCCAGTGACTCAGGCACCACTGGTTGCCTCTTCTTACACACACCGATGTAACGTCTGAAGAGGAATTTTAATTCATTTAGTTGCTGGTTTAAACTTATGTCTTTATTATTTATATAATAACTTTTAAATAAACTGCAGATCATCATCATCACCTCATCAGCTTCATGTCGATGGGGGTAAAGTGAGTGGGCGGCTGGCGGCAGTGCTGGTGGACGTAGGTGATGTGCTGGGCCAGGCGCAGGTCAGCTTCGGCATCTGGCTTGTCCTGGATCAACCAGAGGAGGTCGAAACGGGAGAGCAGAGCGGCCGGCAGCTGAATGTTCTGCTCAATGCTCTTTTTGGGGTTGTAGCGGCCGTAGGCGGGGTTAGCTGCGGCAAGAATGGAGCAACGGGCGTTGAGGGAGGTCATGATGCCGGCCTGGTGAGAAGACAAAGTCAAACATGTGTTCATCAAGCTTTATATTTAAACTTAGTAATAGATTTATTAAATCACCCGTGCATGTCTTTACCTTTGCAATAGAAATGGTCTGCTGCTCCATCACCTCATGGATGGCTGTGCGGTCAGCGTCAGCCATCTTGTCAAACTCGTCAATGCAGCAGACGCCCAGGTCAGCGAGCACCAAGGCTCCACCTTCCAGGGTCATTTCTCCAGTAAGGGGGTCACGCATCACGGCTGCAGTCAGACCGACGCCGGATGAACCACGACCCGTTGTGTACTGACCTGAAAGTCACAGGCGACGAAATCATCAAATGAGAAATGAACACAAACAAGTTGTTTTTTATTTAAAATGCACACAAAGCATAACCTCAGCATCTGAGCACAAACAACCTTTACTCTACTCATCTCCAGTCAGACATCACACCGAGTTAATATTTTACTACGTAGGCCCTAATGGAAAGAAAATGGATGACCAGATAAAATATTTAACCAGTTACAGGACTGTACTCACTTCGAGGAGCCAGGCGGTCAATGTAGGACAGCAGCTGGGACTTTGCTACTCCGGGATCTCCCATCAGGCAGATATTTATGTTGCCTTAAGGAGGAAGAGCATAGTCGTTAATGCAAATTTTCAAAAGGGCAAATATTTGAGCTTAATGTGAATCTACATACATATATTGAGCACATAAAATGAATTTGGTATTAAATGAAGCCACAAAAAAATATGTTTTACTCATTTAACAAATTCTTTTCAGGAATATTTGCTGTTTGTCAGAGTTTTAAAATCGAAGGATTTCTCAGGAAATGAAGGAGGGGGGGATTTAAAAGAGGGAATTATCACCATATCACTCATTGGGAATCGAAAATATTCTCACACTGTTTTAGTGTCATGATGATGCATCTTCGACAGCTTTTATTTCCCTCTGATAAACGGCCTTGATCTACTTTGTGGAAGACGTTATGGGCCTATGTCGATGCTCACCTCTGATTTTCATGCCTTTAGGAGCCTGTTCCACTCCCCCCACCAGCAGCAGCAGCAGAGCTTTCTTCACGTCTTCATGTCCATAGATCTCTGGTGCTATTGAACCAGCTAGTTTCTCATAAAATCCTTCATCTGTAACAGAGAAACAGTCACTTTTAGTTGCTATAAGAGTGAGAGGAGTATCTGCGTTGGCAGGTTTTAACAGTGGTGTGGGTGGATGTTCCTGAATCGCCCACACAGGCCCCTCCCTACCTGTGATGCCACGAAGCTCCTCGTCAGTCAGCTCCTCGTTACCGAGCTCATCGTCCTCCGTCTTGTTCATGAGGATGATGCTGTGGGCTTCCAGGTACGTCTCTGACAGAAGACCCTGAAACAAAAACAGGACGTTTAATGAAGGGACAGTTTTGGATTGATTGACATGCACTTAGGAACCCAAACCCTTAACCCTCCTAAAAAACCACAACCCTCCTAGGTCCCCTCTTTTTATAGGTCACTCACCTGTGCTGCTTGCCTGAAACCTGTGCGCAGAAGAGGTAGGAAGACTCCTGCGATGGCTACATGGTCTCCGGGCTGAGCGAGACGAGTGTTTTCTCCACGGGCGTACACAGACATGCTCCTTGGAATATTTCCAACAGGCACTTGATCGCTCTATAAAAATACAATAATCACCAGATGAGAACACCGACCCTGAGTAACCTGCTTTATCACAATTGTCAAAACAGATTATTAGCTCCTTTACATGTTCCTGAATACGAAGCTCCTGGAATTTAACAAATTTGGAGCCTCTGGTCTGCAGGTAGAGACGACCCCCAGATTTGTTGGTGACACACTCTTGACTGGGACACATGATGAGGGGCATGAAGGAGGGAGACTGGATCTAAAGAAAAAGGAGAAGACACAATGAGACACATCTGATTATTTCAAATCTTATCACAGGATGTAAATGACAACAGAATGTAAACCAAACTTACTGGTTGATAGGTCTCCGCACCACATTGGTCACAGGTGTACGTAGCTACAGCCATCATTGGTTTGACCTCGGTGGCACGTGTGACGATGCCTCGAACCGGCACGAGGTGTCCAATGCTGTCGGCTCGGACATCACGCACCACTTTAGGTTTGGATGTAGTGGGGGGCTTAAAGTACAGCTCGCTGTGGATGGAAGATAACAATCATGAGAAAAATATTTGTACGTAACAAATAAAGTATCACAGGTGGAATAACCAACATAGATTAATTAAGTTGTAATTTTGAGTCTGAACTTACAATCTCCTCATGAGTTCAGGTGGGTATTGGTTACGTGGGTCTCTGGTGTCCGCTGGGTCGCGACCCCTCTGTTCCATCATCAGCCTGTGCTCAATGTACACGTCCAGAGAATCTTTGGCCACGATCTGAATGTGAACACATGCATACATTTCCATAAAAAAAAACCACAATGCAATGGTTGCATTCTTGATAATGACATGCTTCTGTAATCGAACCAATTTTTTTTTGTTTAAACACGACGCTGTATCAACTGAGCAAATCTACTCACATCTCTCTCTTTGTACTCTGGCAGCAGCTCGTGGACTGCGTCGGCGAACAGGCCGGTGTAACGCTTGGCGTTCTCACAGACGCTCTCCACCAGCTCAGGGTCTTCTTCAGCCACATCGTCAAGATCCACAAAAATAGACACCTGCTCCCTGTGGGCCAGCGCCACCTGTACACACAGAAGAGCCATGATCAGCCATGACCATGTCTACACAAATACTGATGAATAACGACCCCGCATCTACACCCAAACTTGGACGAGCTGTGACCTCATCTGATCTAACTCTATAGCCAAACCCCATTCAATTACATTGACCTGCAGATTTCAGTATGTTCTGCCTTGAAAACACTGTTTGTATTCTGTTTACATTCTACAGGTATCATTTTATATTTTCTTGTGTTTACACTGGAATTTATTTATCACTTTAAACTGATATGTTAATTTAACCACCAAGTTTACTGCTGTATCACAAAACTGGAAAAATAAAGGATGAGCTCATATGT